GAGGCTGGGGCTTACAAGAATGCAGCAACGGAACATAAGACAACCCCGTTGATGTTTGCAGCTGAGAAGGGCCACTTGGAAGTGGTGCGGTTGTTGCTCGTGGCTGGGGCTTACAAGAATGCAGCAACGGAACATAAGACAACCCCCTTGATGTTTGCAGCTGAGAAGGGCCACTTGCAAGTGGTGCGGCTGGGGCTTACAAGAATGCGCTAGAGCGCTTTGCCGCCAAAGGCTGCTGTGTAGCAGGGTCACATGGAAGTGGTGGAATTGCTTCGCTGAGTAGAAACAACAAATGAGCGTTTGTTGACATTTCGCACATTCACTCCCCTTGCCTTTTGTTTGCGGGTGGTGGTTGGCATTTTATTGCGTGTGGCTCCGTCTTTCCATTTGGAAAGCATGAAGGGATTTTCTTTGATGGAGGTATCCCATGCTGCCTCCCACTATAGCGGCAACTCCTGAAACTCCTTCAAACAAGTGACACAATTGAAACACCTTTGATCATCTTTGATCAACAAAAAGTATTCATGCATGCACATCGACGCGCACGTACCGCGTCATTACGCAGTACCCGTCAGCTTGCTTTTAGTAGATATAATATAGCACGAAGACAACGACCAACCCCACGCGTCATAACGACGGAGCCAGCCACCCAGGTGCAGCATTGCCCTCGAACTTCGACTGCGACCTGGGCTACACCATCGGTGCCTCGGGCAGAAGGACATTGGACCATTCCTCTTTTTGAAAGAAGGACATTGAGACGGACATCACTACGTTTGCTGGTTTGGTCCTAAACTTGTATGACCTTTGGATGTGACAAGAATTGGTTGAAAAACACAGTTACTGCCGACTCTTTGGCAGCCATCCAGCCATTTCCCTCCTGGAGGCTTCTCCCACCCCATCCCTGTCCGTGTGGACTACACGAGGCTATGCGGCAGCGACCTTCATCACCCAGGAAAGAACAGCCTTGATGGTCACTTGGAGATTTGGGGTGTTCAGATGTGTTCGGGCTGATGGTCAGTGTGTTTAGCTTGTTGATCATGTTGATTCATGTGGTTCTGATTGTTTCTGTTTTTCCGTGTTCAGGCATTTGTGATTGTGTCCTTCATGTTCTTTTATGTCCGTATGTTGTGGTGTGCCATGGTGTGACTTCCTTGTTTAAGTTTGAGGTTTACTAGGTTTGTAGTTTTTTGTGTTTGTTTTGTTGTGGTGTGTCTTCGTGCTGGGTCCGCAATGTAATTTTGATGAGTTCATGTGTTCGCGGTTGTTGTCATTGATTTGTTGCTGCTTTCTGGGGGATTATAACTTTGCAAATCTCGGAGTTGGACATATCATTGCCCAACTTGAAGGTTGCAACAATCATGTCATACGGGCGTCGGGCGCTTCGGCATCATTCAGCAAGAGGAGGGGCCCTCTGAACATCCCATCGGGGGTCATCCTCTTTGCAGCACTTGGCTCCCGTACCACCCACCGGTTGGTGCCATAAGAAGAGCGGAGCGCTATCAATCAAAAGATATCAAAAGTCCTACTCTTAGAGACTTGTCCTACTCTTAAAGAAGCCCTTAAAGACTCTATAAGACTCTTAGACCTAGAGGTTCCTGACATCATGTTTTGCTGCCTCCTAGGTGGACGTCACCAAGCTCAAAGATGATGTCAAGAGCTGGGAGGTCCGAACTCCGAACGAACTGCCTTCGCGAGGGCCGTGTCGATCCAGCGAGGCAGCCTTTGAGTTGATTGGGACATTTCAGGTTGGTGACCTAGCTATGAAGGTCTAACGCCAGCATATGAGAAGGGACAAGGAATGTGTTTTTTTTTTTTCGCATATTTGATGGAAAGCATTTACACCCTGAGACCTTTCCTGACTTGCATTTAACACATGTAAATATTTATGTTGAAAAAAAATATTGGATTGGTTTGATCCCATCCCCCTGCCCCCCAGCGGCAGCGAGCGCTGAATCTGGCAGCGGCCACTGATCCGAGCCTCGGCGTATGCTCAGATATGCTCCCTCCCACCAATGGGCGAATTGTATGGGCATGGGTAGGGGGATGGAGGGACAAAATAAGAATGTATACTACCGTAGTTGGACGAATTATTCGAACCCTTACAGGATTCCCCCCCCTACCCCCCTTAGCTCAATGCTGGCATGTTGGTGAAGAAGGTTGGATTGAGTGGACAAATCAAATCAAAACGTTGAGAACCAACTGTCCTTTCACTTATGCAGCATTGAAATCGGGGGGGCGCGGGGGTGGTGTTCTAGCATGTAGTTTAGGATTTAGGGCTTTGATTAATTTGTCTACTGTAGGTCCTTAGGATTTGTTGAATGACCTCCTTGATCCCAACAAAATAAGTTGTTCTTTTTTTCTCGCACTCCTTCAGTTGAGAGAGATGCAACCAACCCATGGTTTAAACGGAAGAATTGCGATCGGCTGTGGGTGATCCTAGATACTGCCCGATCGGCTGTGGGTGATCCTATGTCATCATTATGAACAGCCTGATCCCGCCCAAGTCGGGTACGCCGGTTTTCAATCTTGCGCCAGGTCTTTGGCACGCCGATCTCTTCCCTCCTGACCTTCCAGTCGCAAGGGGAGGCGCTGTCAGGTCTGATGCATTCTTTGGTGAACCATGAAGCTTGTATCTAGAATCTAGACACTTGTTTTTTGTTCAAACATGGGGGATCAGCAGGGGTGTGCTTGCAAGAGTCTGTCATGTTCATTTGTCGTGTTGACGACTGCATTTGAGTCAAGTCAAACTAAACTGGCCAACCCAGGCTGCTGCCTTCGTTTTTTGCACGAAGCAAGATCTACGATCCCTGCACCAAACCCTTGACGCAACGACTCGCGACCGGATTTGGCTCAAGCCACGCTGCGCCCAAAGCCGCGCTTGACCTCCTTCGCCTCGTGCCAACGCCGCGCCGCGCGATGAGGCTGCGGCGGTGGGGGGTCCTGGACATAGACTCATGAACCAAGGTTTGCATCCTGTTACTAGTAACAAGAAGCCACTAGGGGCTCCTGGCCTTACTACTAAGGACGCTACTAGTGGCTCCTGGCCGTACTACTAGTAACAAAGGGCATTGCTACCCCAAAGTTTGCCCGAAGATCCTCCCGAAGTTTTGCATTATTACTGCATTAGGGGCAAGTCTATGGTCTTGGTGTGATTTGGCTTCTTTTGCACTGGAGAGCACCCTTATTACCCTCGCACAGGGGTACAGAAATCCTGCCGAACATGCCTCGCTCATGAGACTCCTAGTGTGCAAGTTCCTGAGTTCTCAAATTGTGCCACGAGTGAGGTCACGCTGGCCCTGGAGGAGGAAAGCGCAGGAGGACCGATTCAAGTTCCTAAAAATGCGTTTCAGAAGGACAGAAAGTTTGGTGGCCGAAAGCATCCAGAATTGATTTCCTGGCCTGTGATCGTAACACATCAGGGTGGTGTAACTGCATAAATGCATAACCATGCTGATGTTGGATGGACGAGTCAAGAAATTTACCAGCAACCAAAGATGACTTTCCTTCCAAAAAGTCATGCGAATCCAACCTGAGGATCAATGGCATAATTGTAGCTTGGTCAAATGCAACCACGACGGCAAAAGCTGTGGATGCCTAGAAGGCCACTGGACTCGTCCATACTCCATGAGTCGAGTTATCCTCAAAGGCGTCAAACCAACGCAGCGGAGGTGCCCTTTGGGTTCTTCTGAGCACTCTCTTGCTCAACGGTTCATTCCATCCGTGCCACTTGGGTCGTGAGGATGGCAGATCAAGATGAATCTGGGCCACAAGACCGCCGGGTGGACGAGGTGCAGATTACGGTGAATGCTGTCCATCGATTTATGACAACTCCCCCCAAAGCTAAAAGGAATATCGTCGGCAAGATGCTTGCCAATGTTAGTGGAAACTGGTCAAATCGGACTTGGTGTGAAGCGGGCGTTTCTTCCTTGTCGTGAAATCTGCGTAGGTCTCCAGGATGGCCTGTGAACAACTGATCGGTTGTGGAAGTGAAGTGGTGGTGCCTCTCTATATCTTTATATCAACGGTATGTGATAACAGATAGCAACAGTGATGTTGCGAACCCTTGCCCCATATCTTGAGGACTTGGGTGACTCGAGAGGGACGAGGGGCAAGGGGTTGGGGTATCCATTAATGATTCCTTTTTTTCAAGCTTCAAAAAGACCCAACGTTGAAGGAGCTACGGCAATGCCCCTGACCATGTGCCAGTGGCAGAAGCAACACATTACGGCCGCCGCCTGGTGGTTGGCCTTCCTGTGCACACGAAAAACTGTGTGAGCTCCCCCGTGCAGGTCGTCATCGTGGAAGGGGTCTTCAGCTGGTTCGCAGCCTGGATGATGATGCTGTGGCTGGTGGTGTGCATTTGCCAGCTGGCTGCAGGAGATTGCCACGTTTGCCGCCACATGAGCTAGGGTTTGGTTCGAGAAGAGCCAACAAACCTGGTAGACGAACAGAAGATCGATAGCTCATAGAGAGAGTCAGAGAGAGAGAGAGAGAGCGCGTGCGTGCGTGCCTGCCTGCCTGCCTGCCTGCCGTCCGTGCCGTGCGTGAATGAGATGATCCCTGAATGCCCTCATATTGACAGGTCTCCTGAATATGAAGCTTGATGAACCTTTTCGAGATCTGGGCTCACTGCATAGCATTGGGATCCGCAGAAAAACACACCCAGAGATATATAGCTAGGATGGCTGAGAACAGCGATGGCATCCCCTTTGGGGCACCCGCCACCTTGGGTCGTATGAGATCAGTCGTATCAGTCGCGTGCATCGCTACCAGGCTCGCTGACCATGGCGGTGCTCACCTTCCAGGGCGAAGGCATTGAACGGATCTCTGAGGAGCGGTCTGATGGCGGGGGTCGTTTGATGGCGGTGGGGTGGGTTGCCTGCAGTTTTGGACGAACACCGATTTCTTGAGGCGATATGGCACTCCCGGAAAAAACGAAGACCATGGAAGTGGCAAACCACTTGGTTTTTTGAGGAAATGGCCATCCAAGGGCCATGGTCCATGTCCATGATTCTTTCGGGGTGTTGTACTCTAGTTCTTGCTATACCCTAATGGATCCACATACCCTTTGAGAGGGTGAGGAAGGAGACACTAGGCTTGTAGGCGCCAGGAGGGTCCAAGTACTTTTGAGAAGGTATGTGGATCCCTAGTGAAAGGTTAACTTTAGCATACTTTAGCCTTGGACGGTTTTAAACTTGCTTATGCAGCCATTGCTGGCAGTTGAACTTGAACAGTTACAGACTTGTCAAACTCCACATGTAGCGGAACAGACCCTTCCCAACACCAAAGTCCCCTTGGATGGGGTATCCATGTATTGCAGACGGCGTGTGACACGCATGTGCTTTATTTGGCCACTTGAGTGCCACTTGAGTGGCGCACCAGAACTGAACTGGTCACCTGCATGGTCCATCACCTGTTTCAGGGTCCACTCAACTTGAAACATCCCAACCCTACGGGATCCAGTCGTACCTTCTCCTCAGCTTCGGTACGACTGGATCCTGGCACCCAAGAGATCCCAAGGTCCCCCAAAACCCTTCACCGAGATGGATGGTCCCCTGCACCGCCCGTTTCGGACGTCGTGTTTCTCCGATGTTTCTCCGGAGGAGATCTCCTTCGTACGGCAGCAGCAGCTTGGCAGTGTGGCTCCGCGGGTCCGCATGTTTTTTTCGTTTTCAGAGGGTAGACGATGTTCCCTTCCAAGAAGGTATGGGCCAGAGGGCTTGGTGTAACGAGGGTATATAGAACATCTAGACGACAAAACCCTTCCGTACGAAGGCATATATCTGGTTGGGCGACCGTGGCCCCAGTTGGCTCTTTTTGTTGAACGTTGGCATTCCTTGTTCCATGCGGAACGACTGCATTCAGCGACTGCATCCAGTTCTGATGTGTGGCCCTTCACTGGTGATCGGACGAGTGGCTGAAGAGCACTGCTGAAGAGCACTGCCTCCTCCCATCAGGAGCCCCCCCCTATGGGCCGGCAGAGCAGCCGTCCTTGGCCAACGTCAGGGAGATCAACGAGCCCTTTCGCCGCTCAAAGTCAAATGGCTTAGCCGAGTCGGTTCGGACTTGGTTATGCTGGCGCAGGTTGGTTTAGCTGAGGTGGAGGGAGGGATCCGTCAATAGGAGATGGAGTGGATGCAAGTGAGCAAGCAGTCGTGTGGATGCAAGTGTGGATAGCAATGACAGATGTTGAGAGGATGTTGGGCTTGGGCTCATGACAGGTCAGGTGAATGTGTGTTCGTTTCGGGACTGCCGAGGGTCCTGTGCTGACGTTGGACAGGTCCTGCCGGGTCACAAGAAAGACTTATCAACAGCCGCTCGCAATGCCTGACAACTGATCTTGCACCAGCCAATAACAGAAGAACAGGGAAGGACATTCTGCCACCAAGACGGGCAGACCTTGGCAACTGACCGTGTCACTTCACTCCTTGTTGTCTCTGCGAGTTGCATTGCGAGGTTCTAGAAAATTGGAGTGCCTAATGCCAGTGGAGCTACACTGCTCGCAACCATATGGAATAATATGGAATAGCGGAAGTGTCAAGCCACCAAATTTTATGGAGGAAATTGGTCAATCAAAGGTCCATGCCATCCACTTCCACCTTGATTTCACGGAGTGGCGTATCTAATGCCTTTTTCGCTGCAACGGATCGGGTCCATGCTGACTCGATGGCAGCCCAGGATATCACCTTCCACAAGTGGCTTTGTTCTACTCGATGGCTTCAGCAGCATTGGGGCTTTTCACAGCCACGTGGCGGATCGAGCTTTGCAGTCCAAAGAGCATTGGGTCCCCTCACCCCATGCGCCGCTCAACAGGCGCTGCACCCATATGTTTTCCTGCAAATCGGTGTAGAGCAGCGCGGGTTCTCCAAACGCGCGTTTCTGCCGCCACGCGCCTGGTGAATTCAAATGATGGTTTCAGTACGATGTTTCATGAGGTACTTTGGTAGAGCAGTGCTCACTTACCCGAGTTCCAGTCACATCCAGAAGGTTCAACAGGGGCCCGCAAGAGACTTCGACGTCACATGCTGTGTGAGTCATAGAATTCGACGCCGTCGCCGCAGCACCACCGCCACCGGACCCATCGTTGCCAATCGACTCAGTGATTGTCCAAGCCTGACCTGATGGCAAGGTCAGCTTCTTTGCCAACTCGATGCTTTTGGAGACGCAGGGGACCTCCAGGGCAGTGCCTTTGGCGGCAGGGTGGTTGTTTGTGACTTATACTGTACTTGCTTGCTCTTCCGATGTGATTTGAAACAAACACCCTATCAAACAAATGCAACACATGCCCTGAAAGGTGATGGCATGCAAAGAGAGCGCCACAATTGCCAGATCCTAATAGAGGAAACACAAAGAATGCAAAGAAACAGAGTGAACAAGACCTGGCACGTGCAAAAAAAGAGCGTGCTCCAAAAGCGTGCTCCAGTCAATGCCATAGGCAGCCGGCCTGTTGTTCCTTTAGGCGGTGTGGAGCTTGCAGGTTGCATTTGTCCACAGGGCTTTGATGTAGCAGCATTGAGTTGGCTCAGGTGAACATTAACATGCTCATCGCGGAGGGTGGCTCGGCACGAAGGGGTCCGCGCAAGCAGGATGACCTTACGTTTCCCTCTATTTTCCTTCTATTTGGGCCCACACCATGGTGACCACAGTGGGTGTGTCCCCAACTTCGTTCTCACCTCGTTCCTCTTGGGGAGGTCTAACGCTCGATGCGTTCGGTCGGAGGAGTCTGCTCACCGTCTCGGTTCTGCACACAGAGAGACCTCTCAGACTTGGTCACGTGGAGATAGAGAGTGAGATAGATCGAGATGACTCGCTGAAATGTCATCTCATGGAAGTGGCCAGAGGGGGGCCCTTGGAGAACAATGCTAGCATGTTTCTTCATCAGGTAGATCATGATAGATTTAGCTTTTAGTCTTTTTAAGACCCAGGTGTTCACATCTACATGTCTCGGACCTTCCCGGTGATCCTCCTCTTTCTTCTCTCCGCTGGTGGATATGTCTACGTGAGCTCCGGATGGGGCACGCTGGCGTGCTTCTGTGCGGGGGCCACTCAGCAGCAAAAAAAAGGCGCAGGAATCGCACTAAGATTGGAATATCATGACGATCCGATGACAGACTGGCCAAGTGCCAGAATGCTCACCCATCCTCAAAACCTCAGACTCCAGACTGCCCCTCGTTGGTGTACTTGCGGCCTTGTGGACGTCCGCACCCTGAGATCCATTTGAGGCTTTCTTGAACCTGCTCTCCGCATGGATTGGCGTGCGCACCGCTGTGCAGGGTACTTGTCGGTTGGCCACCGTGATGGGGGAGAATCTCTCTCGCTCGGTGCAGCGGCTGGGCCTGGAAGGCGAAGAACGGGCGCGGGCGGACGGGGCGCGGGCGCGATCGGAAGCGGTCGCGGTCATCCGAAGCGGTCGTACTGAGCGGCACTGTGTGCCTCCAACACATCAGCGTGGTGGGTGGCGGAGGCAATGTGAGAATTGTGTGGTGTACGTTGGCCGTAAAGTTGTATTGAAATGCGCAAGAGCGACGGTCCAGATTGTTTGTTTTTTTTTTTTTCATTTTGTTTTCACCAGTCTTGTTGGCAGTTCTTTCCCAGCAAAAATGCATTGCGCACTTTTTATTGATCATTTGCAAACCTGCCAAACCTGCCACTGCCGAGATCTGCCGAGGATTGGAATGTACACCGGATCCATCGGTGGCTTGCTGTCAACCTCCTTAGCTTTGGGAGGCGGAGCAATCGGAAAGAGGGAGAAAGAATGGAGCAAGCAGAGTGCTGGAGCTTTCGGTTGAAAAAACAAGAATGGCTTAGTCACCAAACAAGAACATCATTATTTTGGAACAGGGCCTACAACCAAACCATCATCATCCATTGTTATAGGTGTTAGGATACCAAAGAATGGCTATGAAATGCTGATGAATGAAATTGGTGTGTATAGCTATGGCTTCTATAGCTGAAGGCTTTGGGGGCAACTTAAGGCAACAAGACATTGGCTTTTTCCCATAGCTTCATTGAAAATTATTTTTGGATACGCTTGTCAATGCATTTTGATGTTTTGGACTGGAAGTTAAACAACCCCAGCCTGCCAGGCATGGCGGGCATGTGGTTTTGGGCCTTAGCTACTTGGAGTTGCAAGGAATGGTGAATTGGATAGTGACCCGTCAGCTGTTTTTTTGTGTGTTTTATTACTAATTAGCCAGTTTGGGCCGGCATTTATTTTGTTTGCAGGCCTGACAGCCAAAACATCCTTGAATGTGTAAAGCTATTCATTGTTGTTTGTGACCCATCGCGCGCATCTATCCAGTTGTTGCCACTTCTGGCACATTGGCTCGGCCTAACTTCCTGGTGATGTTGGCCCAACTCGTTCGTGCAGGCGCGCATGCCAAGGACACCTCCCTGCTGTCGGGCTTTGGGTCCGGCGCATGCTTGGTTTCCTTCTACCTCCGTGTGGGTGGAGGTATTTTCTCCAAGGGTGCTGAGCTAGGTCCGGCCACCCGGAGCGCCCAACGTTGGGCCAGGGAGGAAGTGCGCGCCGGAATGCGCCGGACACCTGCATGTTTTTTTTTTGGAGAGGATTGGGATGTGTGGGTGGTCCACATATGTCCACATGGTGCATGGTACACACCGATTGGGGCATGTGTGTGTGCATCAAGTCCCCAAATCAGATTTCACGCCTTTGCCCATTCCCAAAGCAGCTAGCCCCCCTCAATGGAATTCAGAACCTTCACCTGGCACTGGCACCAGGTGCTGACCCATCCAATGTGGATTTTTTCCAATGCATTGGACCCATCCCCTTCGCCAACAGAGGTGGCGATTTGGTGGGTGAGATGAATGAATCAAAGGCGGGACGGGTGAAGTGCTGCAGGGTTGGGAGAATGTAAGGGGACGGAAGGGGATGGAAGGATGTTTGGGATATCTTTCCTCCCAGCCACACAAGATCCATGTGAGGACCACGGGTTTACACGAAAAAATCTTTGCATCATCCAGTGCTGGGTTGAGTCCTCAAAGATCCCCCAAAAAAATGTACAAAAACACCAGTGAGTTGGTGTAATTAGGCTGTTTTTCATTCAAGAAAATATCCATGTCCTTTGTACATCTGAACTGACTATGCCACTGCAGCGGCCGCTCGGTCGGTGTGGGTCTATCTTGCTGGTCTTGCAGCTCCAAAGCAGTTCCAAGCCGTTGAAGTCATGAATTACACTCCCTGGAACTAACATGGAAGTGGAACATGGCCACTTATATAAACAGACCATTTTCCACTAGAAACGAGGAGGTTTCCATTTCCATGTTAGTTCCAGAGGTTTAAATCCCAGAAGCAGGTCATGATGTCCTCATGAAATCAAATCCGAAGTGTCCACGAAGCTTTCCCAACCCATATTATCAGCGGACAATTTACACCGTCCACATACTATGTACTGTATGTGAATATGTCTTAATCGAGACATTGTTCACCAGACATCAAACCCAAACTGCGATGTCACACCTTGAAAAACGCCAAACAGCGATGTCACAGATAGAAAGGAACACAATCGCCCAGGCACGAACCAATCACTCAGGCAAGACCATCCGACTCCAGCCGAGTGTCCATCCGACTCCAGGTGGACGAGGAGCGCCGGGTCTTCGAACTTCAGCAGCGGATGGCCGCTGGGCCGAACCCACCGATCGAGCGGTTTTGGGGTCCCGGTTCATTCGTGGGCAAGCGAAGGAGTGGTCCCGATGTGTTGAGACGTGAAACGTAACGCTGAAGTGTCAGAAGCCCCTGCTGTGTTTTAAGTGAAGCTTTTTGATCTACAGAGAGTCAAGAGGAGAAGGAATGACCTGTACATGAAAGTGGCCCCTCAAAGACCCAATCTTCCCTGACACAAGATTGGGTATGTTCACAAACCTTGCGGTGTGGTTGACCGTTTGGCTGGCACTGAGGAGAGCATGAAGAGAGCGCGCAAGGAACGCTTACAAAAAGGCTGGGTTTCACTGGGTTTCGCTCCCTACCTCAAGATAACTTTGTGATATTTTGCGCATGTATGGAGTATAGAATTGGAGACCAGTAGCACGATGTAGCAACAGTACATGAACACCAGGGGTTTGTGGGAAAGCTTGCACGCTGCCGTTGGCGCCACGGTGTGTGCCAGGCTTGGAGGATGACGAAGAAAACGCTTTGGATGAGTTGCGGATGCTGGAAGAAGAGATGCACGACATGTGCGCGGAGCCTGGGGTTGCGCCCGCGTCAACGGTGCTACCCTGTGGCGGTCAAGGGTTCAGATGTACCGTGCAGGTGGGGGAGGGATCCGGACTCTGGAGTTCATGGCCTGCAAGCAGGTGGGTGCCATGAGCGAATGAGTGAACGAGAGAGGTGGGCTCGTGGTCGGTTGGCTCATAGGGGCCACCACTAATTACCCTCCCTCGAACAATCATGGTGGAAGTGGAAGTGACAATGGCCTCCTGGAACACGATTTTCCACTACCAACAGGGGATGGTCCAGAACCAGGTTCGCTACGTAGTATGGGCTCCTGGCCATACGACGAACGGAACCAGAACGGCTACATGTACGTTCCGCCGGAGCATGTCGGGCCAAACCGTCCAACCGAACGGAAGTCAGGACGGTCGGTTCACCGAGTGGCGCCTCGTCCGTGCCGCGGATCGTCCGTGCCGAGGAGCTTCACCCTATCGACTTCTTGGACGAAGTGGGCGAGGCCAAAGTGACGCTCCACGAAGCGCACGATGATCCAGTTCAAACCAATGGTCTACCCTCTTACCAAATGGATGATGGGGCCCTCTAACAAATAGTATTTCAAGTGCAACGGCGCCCCACGAGTGATAGAATGTGAATGCGTTTGGTGCGGGAGGCGCTGAACATCATGAAGCAAGGTTCGCTGGCTGGAAAGCCAGTGAACCTTGCAAAGTTAAGTTATTCCCTGGAAATCGGCGATGGCCGCTTCAAAAAGAGGAATCTGGAAATGAAACCCTAGAAACGGAGAGGGGCGGCAATATGTGAGGAGTGACCATCCTGGAAGATCAGCATGTGTTGATGAGAGTAAAGTGTCAAAGTAGTCAACATGTCAACGACCACCGACTCTACTCAGTGATTCCAAGTGATTCCTGTAGCTCCATGATGTTCCATTGATCCTATATACATGTATAAGTACATGTATTAAATTTACATCATACAGTTTTACAATGTTACACATATAGTTTAATCATATCTATTATCCTTTTCCTGTTAGTTCCAGTTGTTTAAATACTGTAAACACATCACACAACATATATGAGGCGCCGATCCTTTTCGATGTTCCCCTGCAGCGTGCGGTCGACTGCGCGCGCCGCCCGCATCCCGGTGGAGGTCATTTGTGACTTGACCGGCACCTGTGTGGACCTTTTCGTGGCTCGGCCCGTGAAAAAGGGCGAGCGGCGCGTGTGGAATGCGTTTCAATCCACTTCAATCCTGAAAGAACTATAACTATAGAACACTATAGATCTAAACAATGTATATATTGGATGGCTTCATGAGTTTCAGGTGTCCTTCCCTCCCTGGTCCTCCCCAAGAGTAGACAAGTCACCCCGAGGAGTCCATGGCCTTGATTTTGAGCAGCTCCGCGATGATCGGCGCGAAGACCAGCAGCGTGCCGCACTTTCTGACCGGGCTCCCCTTTTGGATTGTGGCTTCGGGCAACATAGGACCCCGCTTCGGCTGACGGAGGGGGGGGCACCTGGCGGATGGAAGATCGATGAAGAACCGTACAAGCACTGGAAATCGTACTGTGGATCGGGCGAGTGGGGCAGTTTCCCCGGTGCTTTTCGGGGTGTTTTCCTTCAGTAGTTCGACAACCCTTCTTGGTGGCACCAAGGTGGGCTTGGCGGTGCAAGCTTTTTTTTGTGTTGCATGTGACTGGATCATAACCAATGCTCGTGTGAGTTGCACTGTCGATCATTTACGAAGAGGCCAACCGATCCTATGAGTTTGGAATGCACAGACTCGCCCTGGGCAAGAACCTGGCAACCGATGCCTTGCAGGATGTTCACTGGCTGCCTGCAAGATCCATTGCACAGAGCGCGCCTTTGAGAAGAACCAGCCACTTCAGGGTTGATTTGAACTAATCACGAAAGGTAGCCCTTTAGGGGATACCTTGAGTTTGTCTTGCGAAGCAAGTGTTGGGACGTCCGGGTCTAATAATTGATCGCTCAATTCAGACCCCCTCCCCCCCCTCTAAAATCAATTCTCTCCTGGAGAACGTCTTCGTGAGCCTCTCATGATTTCAGGATAGTTGAAACCCTCTTGAACATTCAGAAAGAGTGAATATGAAATTCTAATCACGAAAGGTGTTCCCCGAGGGGATACATACCTAGAGTTTGTTTTGTGAAGCACGTCAATTCTCTCCTGGGGAGCGTCTTCGTGAGCCTCTTGTGGTTTCAGGATAGTTCAAATCCTATGATGTTCCGATTCAATGCTCACCGATGATCTGAGCCATGGGGCAAGTTTGTTTTCCTAAGAATCTTTGAACATTTCGAGAGCACATGTTTGAACATTTAGAGTGCAAATGAACATATATTTACGAAAGGTCGCCTCCGAGGGGATAAATCACCATGTCGAACATTGCATTTTTGTTCCTGCCTCTCGCGTTCTCTTCTCTTCCCGCTGTCCTACCTTTCGTGTCTCCCTCCTCTCAAGTGTAGACATTTGATGAATAAAGCATTCCGGATGAGGAGGTGTTCAATCCAAATGAGAGGTGTGTTTGATCAACATTTAGCCACCCGCTGTAGTTTGATGTATGGGGTCACATCCCTCTCTACTTAGGATACAGTGCTCGAGCTATCCGCTGGTCCTTGCGCCTGAGCCTGTGCCAACCTCAACACCCCATGAGACTCGTGCGAGATCGATTCGATCCACAGGATTTGGTCGTTTGCAGAACTTCCAATGATTCCTTCTAGCCCAAAATGGAAGTCATTTCTTATCCACTACCATCGAGGTAAGACAAGTCCTTTGGACTCTTAGGGTATCCTAGGATGGCTCAAGATCATATGCTACTCTTTGTTCAATGGTAGTTGAGGACATTTTGCACACATGTGTAGTTTTTTTTTTTAAACAGGAGCCAGGAGCTGCCTGGCATTGAAACAGCCTCGATCAGAACTGCAGGGTCAATTTGCAGGTTGCTGGAGCCTTTGAAAGTATTCATTCTTCCTTTGGGGGACATGGACATGGCCACAGAGATCGAAGGACTGTTTCGGCATTGACCGTTGCAAAGCTCGGAGCTGACTTTGCAGGCTGGCGGTGATCTTCTTCGTGCAGTTCGTTCAGAGACTGGGCGGAGGAAAGAGCCCTTTTAGGTGGGAAAAAACATCGGGGTTTTCTTGTATCACGAGACTTGCAAGATCATGGCCCGGACACGACCTGTCTGGGACTGGCATAGGACTGCCGCCCCAGACAGACCCCCCTTTCAACCACCCAACTGATCGGCAAATATGGCGTGCATGGAGCGTCTGCATGTTCTTCATCGAGTCTTGCCACTGGCAGGTGAGCCAAAGAAAAAATACAGGTGAGTGAAAGGGTGCCATTCTCGCGCATGCAATGCTCAATAGACCGCTTCTCACACATTCTCAGCTTGATATGGACACTGCTGTTGGCTTTGAGGATTGGAGTCGGCTTTTTGGAATGGGTGCACGGCAGCATCACCTTCACCATGTTTTGGCACTTTGCCACTGGGAGAGAGCAGGGGAGGGCGAGGGGCGGGATCAAACACTCTCAGCTTCTCTCAGCTTTTGGGTGACCTGCACGGGGTTGGTGTCCCTGCCATTAACCCATCAGATGGGACCGAATCCACTTCGCGGCAGGGAGGCTTGAGTGAGGCGCCCGGGGTTCCGGAGGCCCTGAGGATCCCAGCAAGCTGCCACCCAAGCAGCCTACGGGTTCAGAGAAGCTGGTGATCTCTGAACTCTCTTCAGGTGGTGATCTCTTTAGTCGGCCAGCTCTTGCCGGAGAGCCTTGGTTAAGAAGGGCTTGGTTGAGACAAAGGTATAACAAATGGCAGGACTGGAGGAGACTGGAGACATGGGGGGGACTGCAGACATGGCTCATTCAAGGGTTTTGGTGCTACAGTAGGTCCTTGGGCCGATGAACATCCGGGCTCACATGAAGCCACGCACCTACCAAGCTCCTGCACTATCAGTCGGCCATTAAATGGGCTCAAGACTAAGCAGACTCGTTTCCATTTAAGCCAAACACGGCCCTTAATTAGCCTACGGGTCACCGAAGTCCCACGTTTTTGTTCCATCAATCTTGGACCAATTGAACAAGCTCGACATCCCAGCTTCTTCAAAGTGACCTTTTTTTGAGTGACCTTTGACCGGTCTCTTTGTGACCGGTGAAAAGCTCACGTTTTTTCAGCACCAGGTCTGACCCACCGGTCACCGCCACTCTCAGAATCCCGCTCGGGGTCCGGTAACGAGGTTCTGCGTGATCACCGGGGAGTACTTCACGTCACCCGACTATTGGCCCATTCGTTCGTTGGCCACCAACTCCACGAACGGCGTGGTGCAGGCAGCGAACTCGTGACGAACCAGCGAACTCGTGACGCACGAGTGTGAGCAGCACGCTGTTGGCATGTTTGTATACGTTGGAGAGCAACTGACCTGCACACCTGGGAAGAGGCCCACAATGGAACCGGAAAATCCTTTGGATGATATTTTTCCTTTACAACCCAGTGGTGTTCATATAATATCTTCCATATGAATTTTCCAGAATGATAACAGTCAGTAAACAATTGTTATATAATATATAACTTATATTATATATATAACTCACTACTTTTCGATCAAGGCCTTTACTGACAATCATCATCCATTGTTACTGGTAATAGGATAGACCCAAGCTGAGCATATGTGGTGTTATGGGCATAAGAGATAAACACAAAGAGATGTTAAGACTGTTAAGAGGCCGCTACTGTAGCATCCTGCTGATGAATCTGCATTTGTGCAGAAGGTGTGCCAGAATGGTGGAAGAATTCTACACCACCACCGACAAACACCAATTGCATGATAAGAGTGAAAAGAGTCCATGTTTGGGGTGACCTGCGTTTTGGTATTTATTCTGGGTGTTGGAGTGGAGAACGACTCAGCAGCGTGTTCAACCATGCAGGCACATTCGAGCGATTCTCGTGGAACCACCGCTTCGAAGGCTCCGAGCGTGGCCACCGGACATGGTGCATTCCAGGTAAAAACGCCGTACTGTCGACCCATGCACCAGGGATACTCAATCCCTTGCACTTACTCCCCGACTCGGCCCGACTCGTTCGTATGCAGTGTGTCGGTGAGTGCTGCTTGCTCACCGTGCGCTCATCACCGGAGAGGTGATTCTGCAGGGCTTGGGCCAGGGCTTCTTATCAACAGCCACACCAGCCATACTCATGGCGCCTCATCAGCAGAGAGTTCGATTTCACTGACTTCGGTCAAAGGACTCAAAGACCAAGTCGAAAGACCCGCTATCCTCGATGTTTGTCACTGAAGTTCAGGGAGAGCACAAGAAACGCCAGATATTGGCTGGTAAGCCCATGTCCTTCGGCATCAATTGGAGATCCATTTTCCTTGATTGTGAAGCCTTGCTTTGCAGATTGATCTGCAAAACCGGCTGGGGATGTGCTAGGTGGGGAGACCAATCTCCTGATTTGGAGGGTTTGGGCTTCGACAGAAAACGGCTTCAACACATGTGACCTTTCAATTGGTGATCACCGTCCATGCTTTGATGAGGCTTCCTTTTGCGCACCAGAGGTTTGCACGTGGGGATTGCAGGTGTTGAGCCGTATTGCAGTTGATAGACTGTAGATGTTCAACTGGTTTGCTGGACATGTTGGAGTTCTATAGTCTACTATATATACCATTCATACAAAGAAATTTCATGAACTTATATATACATATAACATATATATATAGAGCTGATGCAGTCGGCATTGCCTCTCCCCTTCGTGGAAGAATGACTTCAGGTCCTTGCGGTCATCATCACCTGGGGTTTGCAGGGGCACTATGGCTTGGCCTTGTTGGCCTCGTCATCAGTCAGCGGCCGGGTCCTCCGATGTTTTCCTTGAAACATCGCGGTGTGCGTGGAGATTGTGGAGGGGGTGATGCAATCACATGGCGTAGACATCAGGTATGGCATGGCTATGCACCAGTGCCATGGGCAGGTGTTGAGAAAGGTTGGTTGACCATTTTAAGCAAGCATATTTAATGGATCATTTCTTGAGCTTCATCACCCCATTCGATGTTTGCCTTGGACCCCCTACCAAATACTCAGTGAGTCGTCTACTTGGTGTGAAACACAGAACCATCTGACCTCCTCCTGCGCTCCTGCGGCCTCCTGCAAATTGCGCTCCCACGGACTGCAGGCACGGGATTTCAGGGTAGCATAGCATCCTTCGGAGCTATTGCCACCAATGCACACAAACAAGTACACCTCACCACCTATGATTCTCTCAGCCGAAACCGTGGCTCGACGACTGAGAGATTGGGACGAGAGACTGGAAGGATGGGTCTTCCATTGTTGACTCTTCGTGATGGGATTTCGCCTTCAATAAGAGGATGGTTTGACATCTCCAGGTCTTGGGGGTTTGTCATGTTTTGAATTCTTCAAGTTGTTTCCACAAAATTAGAGCGTTGTGCGACACTGGTTCTTGAACCCAACGAATTGATCATCGATTCATGCCTTCACCCAGCGGCAGGTCCAGCTGCCACTCTCTATACACACTGATTCACTAACATGGAAATGGAAAATGGATGAAAATGGCCTCTGGGAGGACTACTTTCCTTTACAAACAGTGGGTTTTCCACTTCAATGTTAGTGAGTTGGAGTGTATATAATTAGTATAGCCTGTGATTGTCTTGTTGGCAATTGTTTGGTTTTGTGGGGGTCCCTTGGTTGATCGAATCAAGACCATCTAAGAGAATTCGTAAATCATGGACCGGTCCAGCAACAACAACTCAAAGTGGTCAATTGAGCCTATGCCCACAAGCCTATGCTAAGGCTGCTAAGGTCACCAATGCCTATGCCTAAGGCCTTGTCTTGTCAGATTTCATCGGTTGGGGGAGTTTTGAGCTTTGGGAGGGTGCTGGGTGAACTGCGAAATCGCACCAGATGCAAGGTGCCAACATCTTGGCCACGTGCCTCGGCTGCATTGGCTCACAAAGGGCCGGGGGGGGGCTTGTGCTGGCGGTGGTCAAGCTGACGTGTAAAGTTATGTTTGGCTTTATGCCGGCGCTCCGCCAGAATATAGGGGTGATAAAAAGTTCTATTGTTGAACAGCCAGTGCACAGGAGGTAATTGTGATAGTATTCATGAATACATATGAATACATTTGGAACACTAAGCATGCAACTTGGCAACACATCACCGCTTGTATGTTCTTGGAAGCTGGTTTGCGTGCCCTCGCCACCGCAGGTTGGGAGATATCGCAACTCGGCACAATCGGAGAAATTGAGAACCCGAGGGGATGGGCCGCAGAACCCGCCAAAAGGACCTATACCCTCCCCGGAAGTCCATAGCACATCCGAACACGTCACAAAGCTGCTGTGTTACTTTTCCAGAATGCTGCTGTGCTGGCTTGGGGTGGAACATGGCGGTGTAGCCAAAAAAAGGAAGCGTCGTCTACTGATGGACTGACATGATTCCCAGACACTCCATGTCTGTCATATATGCCTACATTGACCCCCCAAACCACCCCAACTGATCGGCATATATGGCACTCCCATGGAGTGTCTGGGATTTGTTGCTTCCATCTACTGTATTTGTTCTTTTCATCGTTGATCGAGGCCATGCAGGCGGGGAACACCATCTCGGCCATCAACGCCTTCAGTGCTGTCTTCAATGTGGCCTTGACCCTGCGACTGGGTGGAGAGAATTTGCTGCTGAAAAGGGTGGACTCCTAACGTTGAGAATCAGTGATGAATCAACTTATGATATGGGTCGACTGGGCACGTCCTTTCTTTACATGTCAATGTCATGTATTAAAACATCATTTAGCTACAAGTAGCAGCATAGTGTTATTCCGATATTCCTACTTGCAGAATGTACTTCAAGACGGGATTCGATTCGCAGGGGCACATAATTGTGGTCAGAGTTTTTTTGATGGACCACCCTCAGTCCAAAGGCTCCAGCAATTCACCAGGAAAGGCATTCACATGTTAAATCCTACATGTTTTGAATGCATGCTGGTTGTGCAGCATAATGCCACCGTAGGATTAATCAACCCCCGTCCCCTTCAAGCGGTCAACAAGGTTTGAGATTGGAGGTATTGGAGACCACATCCTCCTAATAAAATAAAGGTGATGACCTCCCTTTGTGAGCTTGAACACGTTAAGATGTTGATATCGTTTTAATAAGGTAAAATGACAAACTTTTGCCAGAGAGGGCTTTTAGGGATTGTGGAACAAAGATTATTGCCGGGAAGAACATTGGCAGCTTAGATTGGAGTTTTAAACAATATACCAAACCATATTTTTCCGGGGGGCACATGGGCTTGATTAATAGGGGAGGTTATTATTAGGATGATGCCAATGTGGAAATTTAGGTTTCTAATTAGTTTAGTATTGGGACTCGAACTGGGCTTGGGAGGTTATTTAATCCTATAGGTACGCCTGACCCAAAAAATCTCTACCCTCTAGACGTGTTGCGCAGAATCGAAAGGATCATTGGCCGAAAGGAGGAGGTTTGGCTTGAACCTGAGGTTAGCAGAGACTTACACTGCTCGGAACCTGGACTACCAGGCCGGGAAGAAGCAAGCCGGGAGGATGGGTGTGGAGGATAAGCAGCTAACGTGGGGCTAAGTTGACCCTTCCAAACCCTGCACCTAAAAGTGTGGCTTTGAGATCAAATCAACTTCACTTGCTCCTGCGAATGGTATATCAAATCACTTCATGTAGTATGATATCAAACCAACTGCTAGCTGCTTGGTCACTTGTTCCTGCGAAGTTTCGTTTCACCAGGACGTCTCGGGTTCGCCCCTGTCCGAGTGGAGCCAAGCGGGACTGGTGCTGGGCGTCGTGATGCCGCTACTGGGCGGAGGAGTTTTCTAGGGAGAATGATGTATATCCCGGACACTCCATATACACTCCTTGAAACAATCATGGAAGTGGAACATAGGCTCAGCTGTACAGTCCCACGCTGCTTGGCTCAGCTTGTTGGGTCACCTAGGAAAAGCCCAACTAATGCGTATCCCGTGGGTCTGTCCGAACTTAACCTGTAGCAGTCAGTAAGCAAGAACATCACATTTTTTCTACAACCTAGCCATCATCATCCACTGTTGCAGGTAATAGGATAGAGCCAATATATACCAGACACTCCATGTACACTCCCTGAAACAATTATATACTGTATGGAAGTGGAGCATAGGCCCCTGGAAGACCAATTGTCCTCTACAAGGGGGGTTTTCTCAGCTTCCATGATTGTTTGAGGGAGGGTATGCCATATATTATATGCCGATCAGTCGGGGTGGTTTGGGGATTCAATGGGACAGCATATATATTCCAGTCCCATGGAGTGTTTGGAATATATATACAGAAACACACCAAAGACATAAATTGGATGAGATATCATAGATTACATACTGGAACGCTCCTTTTGTTTTATAGGATCTATGTGGCTGGATTTATCGTGGATATGATATGGACACTGGATCGTCGTTTTTTGTTTGTTTTTTTTCTCGATGTGGGTGGCAGAAGAAGAAGAAGAAGGCGCCAGCGCCACCCATTGCAAACGATTCTTTCTTCGGGTCCAGAAGACCATCAAGAGGATTCTCAAAGATGACGGATGAAATACAGTACTTTTACTGTAGATGTCGGATGGGCATGTTGAATAGAAGACAAATGGAGGATTCATGCCAGGAAACCCACCCTTGAGTGGATCACTGCAACTGAGGGCTTTGTATTGGGCGATTCGTTTCCTAGACCCGACTTGCCATCTTTCCGGGGCCATGAGAAAAAGCACGACATGCGTGTGCTGCGGCATGAAAACCGTGTGCAGTCGAGGTTCCTTTTCACCGGAGAAACTACAGTGAGCTGTCAGGGCCTCGCTTTCATGAGATCAGCTTTTGGTACACAGGACTTGGCACGCGGAAAACGATGGACCCTCCAAGATCCCTCAAGTAGAGCGACAAGTATAGTTCGACCCAACTCCGCGACTTGTGGAGAATATGGGAAATTCCTTGGTCTAGTTGCTGAGTTACTTGAAGAACATCCATGGGCCTACTTGGTGGAGAACTGAGTTGCGCCTCCGAGGCCTCGAGACCTCCAAAGCCTTCATGCGCTTCTGCAAGGCCAACGGAAGAAGTGCAAATCCACCGATGCCAGTGGGTTTGGGGAGGGGCCTGTAGTACTGTACCAAGCTATATCCCTGAAGAAGAAGAAGTCAGGATCCAATAACTCGCTAGATTTACTGTAGGAGATGAGGCCAGGCTTTTCTGGCTGATGTTTGGCACAGCTGAAGCCAGAGCAAGTCAAAGCATCCAATTTGTAGGCTTTGTGGTCCACAGGTGGAGGGAGTCATGAACAGGGCATGAAGTTGGGCCGCAAGTGCGTCGCGCGGAAAAGGGGCACGACCGAACGGACCACTTGGCGGGGTCCATTGTTTTGTCAGTCTTACAACATACCCAGACACTCAATGTATGCCATATATGCCTACATTGACCCCCAAAACCACCCCAATGTAGGCATGATATGGCATACATGGAGTGTTTGGGATATTTTCTCAATCAACCTTTTGAGATGCATTATAGTCGAGAGAGTTTTGTCGGTAGACGTGCGTTGGTCAAAAAGAGAAATCTTCTTCCGTGATTATTTGCATTCAGTTCTTGCGCTGTGTAATCAATTTCAATTTCTTCGATACGCGTTTCTGGAGAAACCTCCAACCAATCTATCTCGGTGCCGGGGTTTTCCTGGCGCGCACGTGAGTCAATCGACCGTCTCGAACCGACCGGTGAACCGGGACGGCGGGTGAACCGGTCTCACCGGTCTCGAGGAGTCGGACACCGTGGGGAAGATCTCCCAGGTGCCCTTTCCGCAGTCACACCTCCGAGGACGGAGCCTGTCACCCAAAGCTACGGAGCCAGTGAGAGCGTGCTCGGTGGAGAGCGGTCGGACAGATCGATCCGGGACGCCTCGATAGATAGACCGTTCAAGGTCTTGGGTTGATGTGCTGGTAGATGCGCCGAATGGGCATCCAATAGCGGAGCTTCTCCTCCACTTGGGTTGTTGCTTTGGAAGAAGAGCGAATGCATGGGAAGGTCAGCGGTTGGCGAAGCAACCGCAGGTCTTGTCCATCGGAACCCTTGGATGTTCATGAAGCAATTATTGCCTGAACATACTAATTAATATATACGCATATACTACTTGTAGAACCTAACAGATCTACAACATCCAATATATAATATATATATATATAACAGAAAATCCACTGCCCTTCACCGGATTCCCCCCCCAAACTCCCTCCCGTCGCAACTTCCTTTCTGTTGGGTTCGTGTCGTTGGACGTTTGCGGCGGCGCCTCGGCGACCGACCACCGAAGGAGTGCGAATCCTCTCGTCCTTCGGCACGATCACCTCCATGCGTCGCTCGGATCCGGGATCGGTCTGAG